AGGAGGAGAAGATGGGGTCAAAGAGCAGGGACCATCATCCTAGCCTGTTAGATTCCAAAATGGCTTTCTGAAGAGAAAATGAGAGAGCTCATCAAAGCATCACTTCCCAACCAAGCAATTTAGAAAGAACAAAAAATCATAGCAACAGACTCCATAGTGAGAGTATTTGTGTAAGCCAATTAATGGGGAATAAGACACAGATGCATGTTTTAGCCAGCCTTCACACTGACCAACCCATTTATTTCCAGACTCTGGCCCTGACTCAGCCCACCCTTTTCACTCCCATTTGTGTTGCATCTTCTTGCCTGATCCTGCTGTAACTTCCATCTTTACATTTTCCTTCCCAACACCCACCCAAGCCATTTTCAGTGGTCCTGATGCAGCGACAGAACAATTATAAGGGACTGTCATTTTCTGTCACCATTCTCAATTTTCCTCACCTAAAGTCTCTATTTGCACAGAACTGTTCCAACATTTTTCACATGTTTTATCTCATTTTATCTACAAAATGTTGTAAATTGTGTAGGATGAAAACAAAATTTATATCTTACAAACTATATGCTGAACATCATGTAACTTAAGTGATCTGATTGCCCAAATTTCCACAGCTCATCAGAGTGGAGATTAAAACTCAGGATTTACAATTCTTAGTGTGAGGCAGAACTGTATAATAGAAAGCCTGAGCCTCAAAACAGGTTGTTCTAGAATTTGAATCCTAGTTCCATTGCTAATTGTGAGCTATGATATCCTAGATTAGTTACTTAACCTCTCTGAGCTAAAATGGGAAAACCCAAGAAGGGTTTCAACCAATCAGTAGAGCAAACTGGAAAGAAATGGAAATACATCTAGCTTTAGTTCATTATTTGGATTCGGATGGGCATCCTAAATCCAGTATCTCAGGGAGAATAAAAGCAATTATAACAAGCCAAAATAAAATGGATTCTTTATTCTCAAGTAGGAACTGCCAAAATGTACCTCATACATTTTTAAACATTCCCTGTTACTATTCTGAACAGTCTTCTGTCACAAGTGCCTAGCAGTTCTTCCCTGGTTAAAGCTTTTCTGTAACTGAATGTGTCCATTTGGCCATGGCAGGCGTCCACAGTTTACCGAGCTTAGATTTCCTTGACGGGGTAAGATGAAGACCTCAGCCCCACCCTTCCCAGATATTCTCCTGAGCTCTCTACTTGGTTACTCTCCAATTCAGAACTGTACCCAGTGATGATATTCACTTCCCATTCTTTCCCCATATCCAGCAACCATCTCACTTTGTTCAAACTGTTCCACACAATCTTTTGCTTAACTTGTTAAGTGCTATGCCCGGCACTTAGAGAAACATGTCCTACTCATTATCTCTGTTAATTCTCACCATCCCAACAGTGGCTATATTATTATCCCCCTCGCATAGCCAAGGAAACCAAGGTTGAGAACGAGGAGCTGCTAACAAGACCAGTTGGTTGAAACCACCTGGGGATCTGAATTCTGAGCTTTGAACAACTCTGCTCTACTCGCTCCCCTTCTTCCCACTACAGTAAAAAGGGCTTTTCCTCATCAAGAAAGCAAAGCACTAGTTAATGTTTTTACTGATTAATTAACATATGTGAAAAACTGATCACACACTCTTTGACCAGATGCTCAAGTGCTGAACTGTGTGTCTACTTCATCAGAAGTCTTTACTTATTTATTTACTTATGGTAGCACGGGGGTTTGAATTCAGGCCTCATGCTTGATAGACAGGTGCTCTTACTACTTGAGCCACCCTACTAGCCCCATCAGAAGTCTTTATATCAGTGACATCTTTCCTACACCAAAAAGTCCATGAATATAGGGACTTTACCCCTGAATGCAATCTTCCACAAGAACACTTAATAAGAGGCTTTTATTCTAAACAAATTAGCAACAAAAGTTAAAACAGAGTGGCAATGACCTGTCTCCTAGAAGAGGTAAGTAAAATGAAAGATTTATTTGTCAATCATATTCTAAAGAGCCTCAACTTCCCTATGGGCCCCACCCTTAAAGCCCCTTCCCAGATTTTCTTTTGATCTCTCTTCTTGGTTGGTCTCTTATCATCTTTGAGTCTAAGTCTCAAACACAGTCAAGCCACGTCTTAGATTTCCTGCTTTAGTTCCACTTCCAAATGTTTTGTCCTGTTGCCCCATGGTCAATTCATAGCTGTCAAACTGTGCATTCCCATTCTACACTTAACAAAATATGGCCATAACACTTAAAAATACACTTCTACTTTAAAACAAACAAACCTGGCATGCAAAGGCTTCTCTCTCTCTGAGACCTGGGGTCTGTTTTTATTTGCTTTCTTGTAAAACCTCGGAGCATGTGAACACTCCATTGTGTAGCTCTTGGGGATCTTGGTTCCAACGTACCCTTTCATCCTTGTGGCTCCTGCTACACCCTTCCCCTCCAGCCACCATGCAGTCCTCTGACCTCTGTGATTGAGCCTCTGAGTTTATGGCTATCAGGGCCTCCTTCTTTCTTCTTCTTCTTCTTCTTGCTGCCTACCTTTCAGAAACTATTCAGATCAAAAGTCAATTCTGTGTTATTTAGGCTACCTTAGGAAATTATCTGAAAGTCATTACCCACCTCCTTTTTATTATTCATGGAGAAAGGAAAAGTTAAGATGGTATTTTGAGTGCAGTAGCCATGGAGAGAAGGAAGGGAGAACTAACCAGAAGGGAGAACTAACCAGGGACCTGGAACATCCACCTTACTAGATTCAATTCTCCCTTTTACTCCTAGAAGGCAGAAGTCTACCTGTCTCTATGGAATCATTCTATGCCTAAGCACAGCCCTCATTCACATTCTTGTTCATCTTCTCCTGTAGTTAGATTCTGGTACTGCCTGCCTATGAGTCAAGTGATGGATTACTTCCATTTAGATGACATCTCCCACAATGCCACATAACAGAGGAGAAAGGAGAGGGTAGGAAGGTTTATGAGGCCTTCATGAGCCTTGTCATTTTCTTGAGGGGCAATAGAGTGGATGACCTTTGCAGCCAGCAGCCCATGTTAAAAATGTGGCTGTCACTTCCTATACATCATTTTGGATGTTCCATTTAACCTCTCTGAGTCTTGGTTTCCCCATCTGTAAGAGAGAGATTAAATAATGCCACTTAGCTCAGTGGGTGGTTAAGAGCATTAAATAAGATAATGCTGGAAAGCATAAGAGTCTAGCATATGGTGAAGTGCCCAAAGCTCCCAGGATTCACCAGGGAACCAAAGAACCCAGTCTCCTCACATGGCTGCATCTGAGCTCAGAGTTTTATAGTTACATTTAGATTTGGTAAGAGGTACCAGACAGACACAACCAGCCAATTTAAGCATAACCTTTTCTACTGGGGGAAAATAGTACAGGCTGCACAATAGCTCAAATAAGCAAAAAAAAAAAAAAAGTTATCTTGTACCTGTTGTGTATTAATTTAAATTATCTCTGATCCATACTGAAATTCTTTTGTTGCAATTATTGTTCCCTCAAAATACCACTGCTAAAATAAAATGTAGTTTACTAAGGAGTTTTTTTTTTTTTTTTTTTTAATGTTTAACTGAAAAAAAACTCAGTGGAGTTTGCCACAGGCAGGACAGTTTCCATTCTTTTAAAGTTTATCCCACCTCCTGTAGCATGGGCTACTTGTACCAACAATTATTTTCTAACATTTGTAGCTGTGCCTATATGAATGCAAGAATTCTTTTCCCATATGGTAATGAAGTTTCTCCATTTACTGCTTTAAACTTGACCTTTCCTAGACCGACTAAAGGGAAGCTGAAGAGGAAACTAGTGATGTCTGCCTGCCGCCGACAGATGGCGATCATGGTCACGCGAGGTTATTTTCCTCTTGGTTCTCAACTGGTCAAGCAGCATGCTTGTGGTGTCTGGGCCGGGTTTGGAGGTGTTTACAAACATCATTAACCTCACAGCATGCCTTTTAAGTACAAAACTAAAGGCTGTTTTGAAAGTGATAATAAGAAATTTAAGACAACAATGTTAAGATAGAGATGATTCTTATAATTCAAAGTCATAAAAAATAATAAATGTTACCCTCGTGGTAAAATGAATCAAAGGACAATACATATGTAGGAAGTGCTGTACCTAAGCAATGAACACTAATCGGTAAAGCAAGGGGAAATAACCACATAACTTTAAAAATGTAAAACTGAGACATAGCCACACACAAAACACTTTTTCTATAGCTAGACACTAAGTACCAATGTCAGATGATAGTTAGTCAGTTGTTAAACAATTAATCTAACATCAATGCAGAGAAACTAGGATTTATTTGAGAATTTAACCCAGTGGTTCCCAATCTGAACTACACACTAGAATCATCTGAAAAGCTTTTCAGACTCCTAAAGTCCATGGGACAACCAGACTCCCTGGGGATGGGACCCAGACGTCAGTAGTGTTCAAAGCTCTTTGGGCAATTCCAATATACAATCAAGGTTGAGATGCATTGCCTTCAATAAGAATAAGGAAAATGTAGTTGTTGTTTTCTGGGGATTAAAATCCATTTGAAGGTGCAGATGGACATATGTGGCGAGTGTGGATATCTTCCCTTCCCTATGACATCTGTACCTTCATGGAGCAAAAACCTTGGGGAACTTTTTATATTCTCAAACCCAGGAAGGGAGAGAACATATATTACCAAGAGCATGTCTTATTTTAAAGCTTGAAACAGCTATTTGTACACTTATTTGAAGAAAATCTACCAGAGCTGTAAGCTTCAACATCTCTTAGTTATTTCACTGGGTCAATTTACAAACAAATGGACATAGAAACCTTTCCTAAGCTACAGAACTTTCTATATACCAGTGCCTTGTTCTACCTTTCATCTCCAAACAATCTGACTAGTACCTGGTCTATCCACATACTCAATGCATCCTGGTTAATTTCCATCTTTGTTAACCCAGTTTTGCCTTAAAACAAATGCATCATCTGATCTTCAGTGCAACCTCCCACCCCAGGCTCTTCTTTCTGTAGCCACCCTTTACCTTGTCTGCCATTATCATAGAGGAGCCCCCGTGGATGCCCAGGATGGGGGTGAGAGTCTGAGCAGAAATGAAATCAAGGATCTGGGCGATGGCTTCCTGGTCTGTGTCGTCAGCAAACACCACCCCCTGGATCTTCCGGTCAGACATGAGATCACAGATGCGAGTGATGATGCTCTTTGGGTCAGTCTCGTTCATGGCTACCAGCTCCACCCGGGGCACCACGGAGAGATGGTGGAAATCATCTTTCTCGTGGGCATCTTTGATGGCCACCTCGTCTGAAGTACCCACGAGGATGACAGCAATGCCAATGCTGGGGGGACTCTTCTGAGAACGAGCCCTGCTGCCTGACACGGCCAAGACGGCCAACACCAACCAGAACTTGGGAGAACAGCATTTGGCTCTGGGCTTCATCTTCAACTTGTCGACTCCCTGAAAACACAAAGGGAGAGAATGGTTAAACCATGGCCCACACTAAATAACCGCTTTGGAAGAGGCTGAGTACCATAAGTCAAGTCCTTCTAGTCATCATCAAACCCAACTTCTATCAACGAGCACCATTTCTTATTTCTGGTGTTTGCTCAGTAGAATAAAATAAAAAGAAACTTTCAAAAGCCTCAGAAATCTTTGAGCAAGACAATAAAAGATGCTATTGCAACACCCATGACCAACAAACAGACAGAGACACACAAGGGGAAAAGGAAGCAAGTAGAGCAGGTGGTCACACCAAACATGCACACACAGGAGTCTGCAGGAAGGGGCTTTTGGTTGCTGATGACCCCTGGCACTCTGGTAATAAGCCATCCTGGAGCTGCAGAGGCCAAGACAAGTGAGCAGCAAAATGGGTCCAGCAGAGGCTGGCAACAAAACATGGCCTGGATAAGCTGGAAAAAGTGAGCTACAAACAAGGAGGCCCCAGTTTCTTGCTGCCTCTGCCTCGTCTTTGCCCCTCAGAGTACAACAGCCAGAAAATGCTAAGGTGGCTGTTTTAGTATCTGGCTCTTAATGGTAAGTCACAAGAATAACCAATACAGGGGCAGTAATTTTAATTGATCCTTAATAACTCAATGGGAGAAAAATAAGAGGAATACTATTACACCCCCTTTTACAGAGGTTGACACCAAGGCTCAAAGAAGGTAGCTGACCTGTCTAAGACCATGAGACAATGAGCGAAATGAACTTGAATCCATATACTGTGATGTGTGTATTCAAGTTTGCATTCCACCGCCCTGCCCTTCACAGCATTAATTTCTGCATTACAAGGAACAGTATTATTCTGACCTCTTTATGCACCAAAATATGGTAGGCAAATGCTACCAACTTGAAGATATTTCCCTTTTTTGTAATTGCGATGGGCTTACTAATTGCACCCCAGAGCACCCAACATTTCCCTCTTATTTCTAATGAAATCCTGTAGCGGTTACTTGCCCAAAATGAATTACTACATGTTTGCATACAGTTTACCACCTTTTCCAACAAAGCATTCTGGCCTTTTTACTTCCATAGGCTCCTAAATGCCCCTAAATCTGACACTACACTATAGGCTAAAGCCACAGAGCTCTGTAGAATATAAGCATTGGTCATTTCTCTTTATGTTTCTCATCATTTCCCAAAAGCTCCTCTTACTATATTAGCACAGGCCTTACATATATCATTTTGTTTCAAATAGTCATTTCTCGTACATCCATTATATGCTGTGCCCTGTGTTAGGCATTTCCTCTTGTACAATGTCTTTGGTCATCACAGGAACTCTACCAATTAGGCATTTTATTCCCAATTCTCAAATGGAGAAACTGAAGCTCAAAACAGTTATGTAATTGACCAAGATCAATGGCGTTATAACTCCAAAATGCCAATAGATAAGCACAGCCTTGTTTATACTTCAACGAAATATTCTACAGTTGCACCCAGAACCAGTGATTCTCATTGTTCTACATGAGAAGGCATGCAATTAAGGATGAAAATGCTGCTTCATATCTCCTGCTTGTTTGAAAAAAGTGAGCTATCAGGGACCTAAAAATTTAAGAGTTTGGCTAGTAAAAAGAAATAAATGATAATGAAGGTGTTGAATAAAGAAAGATCAGAAAGACTTCGGGTTCTGCAGACTGACCATAAAGGGTATTAATGATTTGAGAGTGAGATGCTTGGGACATTTTGTGGCTGAGGAAGCACAAAATCCAATCCAGTTCTTGGCAAAAAATATTTTGGAACTCTTGTTGTTGGAGTCATCCTTTAACACTGCCGAGGAGGAGACCTGTATCGATTGCCTTGTCTTTGTGTCCAAGTAAGAAAAGTAGCTCAGTGGTTTTATCTGGGCAAAGTTTACTTCTGACAGTATTCTGGTCTCTGAGTCTCTGTGGAAATAAGGAATGGCTCTAGGAGCCCTAAAACCCATGCTGATGGGCTGCACCCACTTTAGTAGGAAAGCAGCACCTGATTCTTCCTTCCAAAGTTTGAAAAAAAAAAAAAACAATGCCACATAGAGTCAAACAGCACTGATTATTCAGAGGAAGACAGTTGGAGTTAGCACCTCAAAGAGCTGGGGACAAAAATGTATGTAATATTTGTTCAATTCCAAAGACTGTTTCTCAGGAAGATCCAAAAGACTTAGAACTTGGCAAAACTAGCCACTAACTTCATTCCCCTGGGATTCTAATCCTGCAGATACAAGTCCCTAAATTAGATTTCTTCACTTTTAAAAGTGGTCCTCTCTGCCATGACAGTTTATTAACTTTAATGCACTCTATGCTCTCCTACTTTGAGGTTTTATTTGCTCTCCTTAAAATATTTCTTGTGTTCCTCTATTTCTTCTCACACAATATATTATAGTTTGTTATACAATGGCTAGTGATGACACTCAAAGAACAGGATCTGGTTTTTACCTAGCATCTCTTTTAAATTTAGGATAGCACAAAATACTTTGCAAAGCAATACATTCTGGTAGATACCAGTAATAGAGGGACTTCAAGATAAAGAGACTGCTCTGAATATGAACCCAATTTCAGACATCAGAGGAGGCTGGTTGAGAGAAAGCATGTAGTCCAAGATAAACAATGTGGTGTTGCTCCCTTCCTCAGACAGACCAGGGCTAGTGTTGCTGCACCTGTTTTATGACGTTCTGTCCCATCCTCACCACTGCCCTTCCATCTTCCCTGGGAGAATTGAGAATTGCTTCCTTTGGGCTCCCACCAGAGCTTATGCATGTCTATCTAAATCCTTGTAACAGTTTATTATAATTACAATGTTGCATGTCTGTCTACTTTAACCAGTTGATAACTTCCTTGTAAGTAAAGATCTTGACAGTTTGTAATCATGTATTCAGTAAGTTTAATCTTGTAGACATTGTTTTTCCTCTCTTTTTTCTTTTTCATTTTTCAGTGCTGGGGGTGAACCCAGGGCCTTGTACATGCTCACCAAGAGTTCTACAGCTGAGCTACATTCTCAGCTTCAAACATTGTTTTGGGTGTTGGGTATACAACAGATACAGGCTCAACACTTCAGGACTACTGTCTAGCAGAAACGGCACATAAGGAATATAGTGTCTCATTTGTTTATATTTTTGGTGTCTAGCACTGTCTCATATACAATAAATAGGGAAGGACTTGATAAATGGTGGCCAATATTGAGTTTCTACCATTAGGTTGGATCACATATAAATTCCAGATATACGACCATTTTGATCTATATTGGTTCAATTGCTGTGTGTCAGACACTATTATTACCAAGTGGTTTTCATCCACTATTAGATACTCATAAAAACATTACAGGTAACAAACTTCTCTCTATTACAGATAAGAAAACTGATCTTCCAAGAAGTTAAGGTATGTGACCAAGATGACAGAGCAAATAAAGGATAGTATCAAGCTTCAAATATAAGTTTATCTGACTTCAAAACCCTTTCTTTTTCTATTCTGGAGCTGCCTCCCAGGACAGGTGGATAAGTGAGTGAATGACTCAATGAGTGAGTGAATGAATGAATGAAATTAGCAACTTGGACTTTAAACCAGTCTCACATTAATGAGGTCACTTAGGATGGGCAAGTCACCCAATTACTGTTTCTATTTGTCATTGGTGAAATCAGGATAATATAGCTAACCTACATACCTGAAAGAATTTTGTGAAGATCAAATGATAATATGTATATGGAAGTGCTTTGAAGAATATAAAATACTCCACAGATGCAAAGGATATTACCTTTAAGCTTTCAGTAGCTGTTCAAGGAGTCTAGCTATTTATGAAAGCACAAAGTGAGCATGTGGGAGGTGGGGGTGAGAGAATGTCAGACAAAGGCTGAGAGGAATGTTAAGAGGAACCTAGCAGGGGGCAAGAGATATTAGTTCCCTCAGTGACATAACTTCCTAAAAAAGATGTCACAGAATGGCCTTAGGGTAATAGCAGACTCTACTGACAGCTTACCAGTCACGGAGTAGAGTTCAGGAGTTGTTGAGGCCAGGGAATTCAGCATCCCCAAATCATGCTATGAATTCAGGCACACAAGCAAAAGCAGTGACAGGGCACAGACTGGACTGACTGTTCACCTTTTAGGCCCTCTACTTCCCTGAAGCTTGGGCTGAGTGACCCCAATCTCCAGCAGGCAGAAGGACACAGGCCTTTAACTGGTGCAGGTAGGGACAATAAGAACCAGTCTGCACTTGCTCACAACTGACTTTGTGGGCTCCCCATCTAGGTGAGGAGATGTGTCAATGCTTTCCTCAGAGAAAACTGAGTCCTGGGACAGCTTCAACAGAAGAGTGAAACACGATTTCATAAATGCAAAAACAAAATATTAACTAACCAAAACACAGAGTATATTTAAAAAATAATAATGCTGATGATGTTGATCAAATGTGGTTTATACCAAGAGTACAAGGATGGATTAACTTTGAAATATTTATATCAAATTCACCACATTAAAGAAATAAAGATGTTTACATGAATAATCTCAAAAACGAAGAAAACCACATGCAGTTAATGGGACTACCTATTCATAATACAAATGATGAAATAAGAAGACTCATTTTGATGGTAGAAAACAGACTTAACCTGGTAAGAGTACATACCAACACCTTTTGATCTCGTTCCCCTTAACAATAAGAAAATGCAAGGCTAATTTTATGCATGCTATAAGAAATTCTGATAAATAAACAAAATTTGAAGTATAGGAATGAAGGAAGGAAAATAGCATCATATGAAGTTACATGGAAAAATCCAACAGAACTTTAAAACTATTTAAATTAATATGAGTTCAACAAGGTTGTAGACAAATGATCTTCTTAGAAAAGGCCAATACATTTCTTCTGACAAGCTAGCAAAAATATTCACAATAGCAGAGACAACTACGAACTATTTAGGAATTAATAAAGAAAGGTCTTAACAAGACTTCTACAGAGAAAATGTGCAAAGTCTATTACAGGAGATGAAAAGCTGTCCTT